TGTTGCCATCAAGTGACTTGATATCACAATATCCTCGAGGCTGTTCTGTATGATTGATGTTAACCGTCATACACGAACATCCGTCATACGACCCGACGCGAATCGTGAACGACACATAAATCTGAAAAAGATTTGTTTATTAAATTGACCAACTCGTATGAGATTTACGACTTGTCAAGAAGCTCATATACTGATGGATAGCCATTACTCTTCATTTTGACATGTTGTTTACTTTTAAATAAATGTCATAGTACATACTTTTGTCTGCTAAAGAGGAAAGATTGCGATTCTGTTACATTGCGCGTTTTACTACATTATAAATTGCGGGATTCTTTCCTGGAGTGGAAAGGTTTATTGAAACCAATCTGAAATACTTAATGGCGATCTAAATATGATAACAAGAACAGAGATTTTTATAACCAAAGTAAGAGCGGGCGCACTCTTATATAAACTATCGCATAACTGTTTAGTCGCGCTTTGATTTTTATGAGCTAATATGGAGGTGACCACACTACTCGATTTTCAGTTGTCTAACTAAACAGATGAATTTGCTGCAAAATAATCGACAATCAACAATGGCACAACAGTTATGCGATAGCTTAAGGTGTGCGCCCGCACTTAGGATTAAAAGATGTCTATTTTTTAAATGAGAGTTCTTCGTTATAAATACAAATTCTGTGGTTTACTCATCGAATGATATTATTAAACAAAAATCCAGTCATTTCCTGTGACCAAAGTTTCTAAATAAAATAAAAAGTGGTTAGAGCCATCAGTGTTATGCAAAATCTTTGATAGTACTGTAGCTATTGACGAAGTCCACTTAACTTACAAATTTTTAGATGGATGGATGGATGTTTGTTAGAGTCTAAACTGCCAAACTGATCTCTATGAAATTTGTCATAGATATGGAGGATAGTCTGGAAGAACACATAAGCACTTTGTGTTTTTTAATTCCACGCGGACGGAGTCGCGGGTGAAACCTAGTAAAGTTATACTTTCAAATGCATTAGTGACCTTTTGTTTAGACAGAGATGTTTCTTAACATGTCTCCACCACAGTTTGCAAACGTCTTTCCAAAGGTTTTCAAAGAGCAGTGTCGTTAAGGGCCACAGTTGTCGGCACGCGCCTCTGCATCCTGGCGTTGAGAGTCGCTTTCCGGCTATTGTGTCGCGACACTGTTTCTATATAAAGGTAGAGACACACTGGGACCTTTTATAATAGCACCAAGATGTTTTCTTAAAAGAAACTGCACTTTTCATGACTTTACTATTATGTTACTTTTGTTAATATTAATCGTGTTACGCTTTTACAGAGTAACATTATGTAATACTAGCTTTAGCCCTCGGGACCGTCGGAGTGCAATTTGAAAAAGAAACGAAAGTTTTTTTTTTATAATAAAGGGGGACAAACGAGCGGCCAGAACACTGAGTTAGTAGCCTATGTGTTCTTCCACACTATCCTCTACGTCTATGCTAAATTTCAACAAACTTTAACAAACATCATCCATCCGTCTAGACTTTCGCATTTATAATATTAGTAAGATAATCACAAGAAAAACTCAACACTTTCACTGCTACCAAGTAGCTTAGCAACACTTTTATTAAAAAAGTCGTCAGGGCATTGTAAGTGTTAGAACTTTTATACATGTGTGCATCTCCTAAGCAATCGCATTTGTATGATCGATCGTGTCTCAGCAATTGTTTCAATTCCTCGAACGTAACCCTCGTCTAAATAATTGAATGTATTAATAGAGAGTTGATATTATCGTCGACTCCATCAGAACAACATGAATTATTTATAACACGGGGCGTGCTTGTCAATTTTAAATATGTTCTTCTTATCGCCTTCACTTTGATGTATTAAAACTTTTATAGCGTTCGTATGTTTTTCATTTTTAATTAAATAGTTCGTTAACTTATTAACCTGGTCAAGACTTTCTTACCTATTCGAAATTCTGAATGGAATAGCTGTACGGATTTTAACTAATATCCTCACATTAGAATCATCACCATATTTGAGATATTTATGATAATATCGCACGCAACTCCGTCTTAGTGAAATTAAAAAATAATATAAAACATAGTTTATGTTATTGACAACGTAGGTTTTTTATGGGGAAAGAATTTTTGAAATCGGCCCGGTAGTTTTTGAGTTATTTTATTTCAATCAAACAAAGTTTTCCTCTTTATATGTATGATGTTATGTACCTATGCATTGAACAGAAATAATTGGTTTCACCTACTTCCATTAAAAAACTGGTCAGAATGTAATAAAAATCCGCCTTAATAATATCAAAGTTAATCAACATTTCTTCGATTGCTATCAATTTAAGCAAATGCTTGCGAAATTGAATAGTTTATAGTGTGACGTCAGTCCAGCCTGCGCCTAGACTAATGTCATCTAGCCGGCCGTGGCCTTATTGCCGCGGTCAGTCACTCGCCAACATGTTTTGTATATCTACATACCAAATATACATAGCTTCGTCACCAATTTTGCTGTTATAACTAGGATTATCTGGCGGCAAAACAAAAACGCGTCGCGTCTGTGTGTTTACAAGGTCGGATCTGTTAAGGGTGATCTCCGGGTGATGATGCTTGCGGGAATGTCATAAGTTACTTTTTCACGTTCAATAAAAATTATAATAAAGGGGGCGTTTACTGACTTGGACTATGGTTAGTACGAGCAAGTTCAGTAGACAAGTCAGTTTGACCTCTACGTTGAAATCGTGGTGTTTCTATTGATTTTACATCGGTTTGTAGAACACCGGCTGAGTCAGTACGCAGGACAATGAGCACGTCCCTAACGTTTCCTGTGATTCACCGCTACCGTCTCAGCGTATAAGTTTCGTATAGCTTTTGTCGAGTAGTATAGTCCGACTAACTTATTTGACGCGTTGGAACTATTAGTATAGTTCTGTATAGACACACACACACTTGTGGCTTTTTCAATATAGACCAGAGGTGTGCCATCGAACTTTATTTTTACTTTTCTCCTTACACGTAAAATTATTTATCTACTAGCTTGCGCCCGCGACTTCGTCTGCGTAAAATAAAAAAAAGAAACAAAATTAAGTAGCTTATGTGTTCTTCCAGACTGTCCTCTTCATATATGCCGAATTTCATCGAGATCCGTAGAGCAGTTTAGGCTACAAACGCTAACAAACATACATCCATATAAACTTTTGGATTTATAATATAATATGATAGTTTAATTGCAAATTGTTTTGCATAAATTTGATATGTCACATGAAAAGCAGTATTTAATAGTAATAATGTTAGTTACGGGAGTGATATAGTGTTCGAGTAATCGCTAGCTAGCTTGCTATCCGTACTAGATCTCATTTGCATATCAACGGCAGGATTGTCCTGCGTAATGTATGCGACTTCCTGACGGCCGTTTATGTATGCTGCGTCGCGACGATACGTCCTACCATTAAGGGTACTCTTATGTAATATTTGATAGTTGCCTTGATGACGTCATTGTAGATGAATGAAAGGTTTATGGTTGAGGAATCAATATGCTACTGGAAATGGTAGATCGTCTTCTGTTTAGTTTAGTTAGTTGCTGTAGAAATTCTGTATCTTCTATATTTTAATTAGACATTTTATAAGTCTTATTACATATACATAGGAAGAGGAAGACCGAAGGAAGTATGGATGGGTTGTGTGAAAGAGGATATGCTTAAGAAAGGAGTGGATTCAGATATGACGGCTGATAGAGATGTATGGAAGAGCAGCACATACTGTGCCGACCCTCCATAAGGGATAAGGGCAAGTTGATGATGATAAGTCTAATTACATACTTGACCGCACATTTCAAATCTATTATAGTTAAACTAAACGAAGTATAAATTTCTTAACGATCATTATAGACTACATAGAGATAATACTTCGTTATAGATGTCATGGTTTTATAGAAATAATATATCATAGTTGAATCGAACTCGGGACACAAAGCGGACGAAGCCGTGGGCGTTAACATGTATGCATCACTGATCCAAAGAGAATGACACGATGCATAGTTTTATGGCGATACTAGATATGGTGTAATAAATTTTAAATTTAAATTCTCTTTCAACGATTATACGAAATGTAGGCGAAATTCGTAACTGGTTTTACATCTAGTTTCAGCTATGGTAATTTAAAATTGCTCTTATTGTTTAGATTATCCCATGTTTGACTTTCCTCCCACAGATGTGTTCAACTTACGTATATTTATGAACAATTTCTAAGTTCCACTGAAACTTTTTTCCTTAGATAATGAAAAGGATAGCCGTGTTTTCATACATTTGTTGTTAACACAACATTCACTGTAAATGATGTTTTCAAAATATCGATAAATAATCGAATACATTTTAATTCGCAAACCTTTTTTTGAATTTGTAATGTAATCCAATATGTTCAATGAACGGTAAAATGTTAAAAGTTACGACAGTGTTTTAATACTTTTTTTAATTTTTTTTTTGTTACAATTTAAAAACAAACCGAGAGCAGACATAAGCTATAAAATTATCAAATATATATGTTACAAATTCTCTTTGGAGTCCCAATAATATTGTTCCAAAGTTACATTTATACGCCTTGTGTGGATTTATATAGGCGTACAAACATAAATACATTTATTTTTATTTATATGAATGGATAGATACATTTTAATTTTTACAAATTTTATGATTGGTATTATCTTCTTATCACGCATCTCGAAAAGGAAAAAGTGTGGACATATTTTTCGTTACCCGGTATTACATTAGATATTCTTACTATCAATTGATTCATCAGCATTATCGAGTTATCGAGAATGTGTCGTAGGTGTTACGCATTGTGATTACTTTGTAGGGGGGATATTGATATGCACTTTCCGTTCATCCTTTGTGTAGTAAATGAAACGCTATCGGATGTCGCAGACGTCTCGTTCTAGAAATGTTTTAATCCGTTTGTTTGTCAGTAGAAATGTGTTGAATAGAATACGAATTGTACCTAACTGGTCATTCTGTTTTATAGTTTAATCAGTGATATGTGAACGTCGATAAAGTCGCATTGTTTCAAAGTGTGTGAAGTGTAATAATAAAAAGTGAATCTTTCGACGAAAATGGTAATGGAGTCCGCGCAACATAACGGGCGATTTTGGCCCCTATCGCCTCGTTTGTGGCGTCGGAGCAATGAATATTCCAAGGTGGTGTTCGAACCTAGAAGGCCGCCGACATCGCCGATAGAATATAGAAAGAACAAATTAGATCTGACCCCAGATTTATTGAGATCCAGAAGTTTTATAAAAGATAGACTGGATCATTTAAATCTCGAGGAGGTGGATGACGAAGTTATTCATATTGATGAGAAGACTCGATGGAGTGTGGACTCGAAGAAACCGCCGATCAAGGAAACGAAGAAAATCGAAGAGGTGGTGAAGTTGAGAGCAAAGAAGCAGAGACAGCCGCGACCAAATAGCCTGCAGCTGCTGCTCTGTCCCTCCAGCTCAGGACATTATAGCAGCAACACCTGGAGGTACACCAGGGTCCGCTCCAAAAGGTTGGTGTATTTGTTTGACTTGGTCATATTTTTCTACTTATTCTTTTAGATATTTTATTTAGATTGATATATTGGTAAGATAATGGATGTTTAGCATCATAGCTTTCTTCTTATGGATCCCTAGGTATGAGCAATACAATCTACAACAAAATGTTCTGCGGTAATCTTGACCAATTCTTCGGTAATCTTGTTGTCTGCTTATCTTTTTAAAAATCAACAATTTTGTCTGAAATATATATTCAGAAACACGTGCCATCATGTTATTCCGTTCATGTTGTCTATCAATTTAATTGTAGCGTCTGTTTAAAGTTTGTTGTGAAAGGGAAAGTGGTAGTGTAATTAAGATAGCTTATCAATTATGGTCCATCAGAGTGGCCGGTGGTAGTAATTAAGTCGGCTACACTTTCCCCAGCTGTCGTGTTGCTCAAGGCGCGGATGGCGCGTGGGCAGCGTGTGGGCGCAAGGGCCACCCTGTCACATAACTCGCGTTGGACCATCGACCCAATATTTCGTAACATATTCTAGAAATATGACACTTGTTATATTAATATAATTTTCAAGGTTATGTTAAAAAAAACTTAAAAGTTGTAAGAATTAAGTTATTAAGAATTAAGTTTTTAAAAGTTTCATTCAAATGGAAAAAAGTCAAAATAAAATAAAATTGCTTATTCCATAGAAGTTAAAAAAAAATTTTTACCGTTTACTTTCACTGTTTTTAACAAATCAAAAATAAAATGTTTTTAAAAGTCAATTTTTGATCAGATTGCTTTTGGTTTTGCCCTCATTAAGTAAACATTAATTAAAGCAGATAAAAATCATTTAATATGACAAGCAAACTTTGAAATTTACATTCGTACAATTTGCGGTAACGGGTTTTTAGACATTTTCACCTTTCACCGTTTTCAATGTAACATTTTTTTTAATTACGAGTTGGTCAATGCAATGTAATTTTGATTTCGCTTATATGTTGCACCAATCGATTAAAATTTCGCAGCATTGCAAGTGTTAACATCATTAAAATGGTCATTGTACCAAATTCTTTTAACCTTTTCACTGCTTACACCCATCTGATGCCAATCGTTGTGTTATAGTTTCGAACCACTTCAAAGTATACGAGTACTTGACAAAATAAACATATTCGCGTGGGCAACAGCTATTTAGTATTAAATTAATATTCTGGGTTAATATAAAGCGTAGTGACATGTTTCGGTAACCCCTGAAGATAACCACGTGTCATGTCTGAAGTGACTACAATTCTTGCACACAAAATTTAACTTTATTACAAGTAGCTAAAGTATATCATTGCATTAAGTTTAAGAAGATATACGAGGAAAATGTGTGCCAAATTATTTTGTCTCTTGACCGGACTTTACACAATTTAATTAACGCACAAATTGATTACGATTATTATCTACTATGGAGAATTTTATTGTAAAATCCAATAAACGTATTATGAAATGTTAATAATATTTTAATTATTATAGACTAGCTTTTGTTCGCGACTTCGTCTCCGTGACATTAAAAATGTAGCCTATATTACTCGCTTATGCTGTAACTTTTTAATGGTGAAAAAAAAAATTAAAACGGCTCAGTAATTTTTGAGTTACTTCAATAAATACAAAGATAAAAAATGCATATCTTTTCCCTTTATAATAACACTCTAGACGGATTATTCCCAACCCGTCTCACTGCTCCGTCCCCACATGAAAATAAAAAGGTTCATCTGTGCTCTCCTTAGCCCACTATCACCAATCAGGTGAATGATGGAACTGTTATTGAATAAAATATGTTCCAACCGTCCCCTCGTCGCAAAAAGTAGGACGGAAAAAACTTTTTATTCTCTTTTGTTCTACCGTTGGGACAGAGGGGGGTGACGGTTGGGAATAATCCATATAGTATAGGTTAAGAACTACCACTGTAGCACAGAGTAATGTTATTGCATCGACATTATTGATACGTAATTGAGTTACGGCGAGTTAATTACTCTGTGGTAGGTACTGGGTTGGCTAATTGTTTCATTACTGGCGCAGTATACTGCCAGCGACTATTTAGTGCCTTCATTCTTAATTGATGATTGCTTAATTGAATGTGTTCGATTCTTAACTCGTTAATTTTATTTATAGTGAAAAATTAGGGTCCTTGTAATCGATTTTTAATCGATTTAAGTGTTTCATTTCGTATCGATGTTAAATTGTATTGTATTTGTCTGAAAAAGTAGTTAAAGATTTGTGTTTCGTCTTATGAAACAGTTACACGGCAGCCATCTGATTTTTCTAATTTCTAACATTGAGTTTTATTTTTCTAACTCGTTTAACTAAAAATAAATAAATAATTAAAAATACTAATTAATAATGAATCCACTGTCATCTTCTGACTTTATAGTCCTTTGCAGCGACCAATATCAGTCACTTCAGTCTCCGTGGCTTTAGTCATTTCATATATTAAAGATATCTATCGTCATAATATCACGACTTGTTAATTTGCCTGTATATAAAAACACATTACGACGTATGCCGCGTCATATAACTGCCTGTCCAAACATAACGACAACACTGGCGAGCCCCAAATGCACAATTAATTCGCGAACGGCTTCGCTGTATTGGTTGTGCTGATTCATAATTGAACATTCCTCGACAGGCGCCTCCTACCTACGTCGCCTAATAAGCTGTCAAACGTTGACATCACTTCGCATCGTCACTCATCTCACCGTTTTGTTTTTAAACCAATCGATGTTCTAATTTTGAACTTACAACAGGCTGTAACATCACTGTTGTTTTTTTCTGTAGAAATACTGGCTGTATTTACCTACGTTTTAAAATTAAAACAAAATGAAGTCAAAAAACGACCTGGTTTTTAAGTAAATTGTGCATGTGTTTTGTTAGTAGAATCCCACAATTATTTGTTAAATGAATTTAATACAATCCATGTATCCATGACGTAAATTTATTGAAACATCGGTTGTCTTAAGCGCGTCAAAATCAATGATGGACCACAGCGCCATGTTGAATATTCAACGCGGGCGTTTATTGTTATTATCTGCATTGGACGCTCGCTGCAGACACCAGACGAGATTTATTCAATATTTTTAATGCCGTTAATTTCGGCCAGTATCGACAGATTTTAATTTATGTATTCGATTATTGTCGATTAAGATGCATCGGTTGAATTAAAAGTAATGTGCTTGGTGTAAGATTGGCGTTGCATTCAAAATAAATTTTGTATTTTAATAGTTCCAGAGTAGTTTTTTAATTTGTGTCTACAAGAAAAATTAACTAGTGACCTAATTAAAATTTGACAATAGTGATATTAGTAATGAAGATTGCAAAATAATTTAAGTAAATAAAAACGTAGGAGCTATCGATTTATTCCCAATAACTAGTTAAGTAGATACCTACTATATTATCCTATTTCGGTTGTATGATGTCAGCTTGACAATTGTTATGCAATAGGATATTCTCACGTGTTCCTACAATCCGATAATCAAAGAATTCGTCAATACACGACCTCGCTGAATATATTATGCAGAGATAAACGTTAACTTCGCCCACGTGTTAGAACTGGCGTTAAATGGTTCTCACGTTGGCATACTCTAATGTGTATGTTAGAAGTATTGACTTGAGTTTCCACAACAAATATTAAAAAAAAAAACATGTAAATCTCTTTTGAAATAGTCTCTTGGAGAAAAATAAAAAAGAAATTAAATGTTGTTTTTCATAGTTTATGTGTCTGAGAATTATAGATTAGAAATCTATGTCTAAACTGATGTTAGGAAGAGGAAAGTTTTGTATTTTTGTATATATTGAAATTTTAATACTACTGGCCCGATTTCAAAAATTGTTACACCATTAATATTTTTTTATATCACGCGAACGAAGTCGCGAGCAACAGCTATGTGTTATAAATTAACTTAACAAAGGACAATGGAATATGTTTTGCGAAAAATCGACATACGATTTATGAACTATTACCAAATTGTAAATGAATCAGATCGATCAGTATCTTAACGCAATACCTGACCTATTTACTTCATATTTATTTATTCAACGCTATTACACGTATCTACTGCAAGTATAGTACGTTGTACTGTACTTGCAACACGAGGGAATAATCGCGTATACAATAACGCTAGGTCATCGACACGCCGACTCTATATAATAGTTATGTGTACATTATGTATTTATTATAATACCGCTGTACTCATGTCGACATAAATACGTGCTAAAATGACCTTTGTGGGAAAACTGTTGTGAAATACACTTAGATCGTGTTATGTTTGTTATCTAGAAACATTTGTGTGTATCGTATTGTTTTAACATAAAATTATCCTTACTCAATATACAATCTATTACAATTAGTTATTGCATATTGTCCTTTCTATTACTTTATTAGTCTTTGTTATTGCAACTTAGGGTGCGTCCACATCTGTAAGGAGAACCTCACTTTTTAACAGTGGTAGAGCCCGCTTTAACATCTTCGCATGAATTGGTCCGCTCGCCCGGTATAATACCAGGACCACACAGAAAACAGGCATGAAATGGAAGCAATCCCGAATTTCGTCTGATGAGTGTGATGCCGTAGGCCTAATTTTAGTCCCTTTCCCTTCCCGCCATTTTCTTATAAGGGAAGGATGGGAAGGAAAATGAATGGGTGGATTGGAAGGTGGATGAGACGTATAGGAAAGGAAAATATCCTCTCTATGTGCGTCTCTTTCTCCGTTGTTTAATGGTAGGCCACGCATCTGCAATTGCGGATGTATATGGGCAGCAATCTCTTCGCTTTTTCGGCGAATTCAGGTGGCTGCTCGCTGGCTTGCCACCTTATGATATAAAAAAAAACACTGTTATGCTTAACCCTTACCTTGTTACCCTTTTAAAAGCAGTTGTGTTTATGACGGTGAATTTCCAACATCGTTCTTCGTAGAGACTTGGTTCAACACCAAAACTGTGAATTTTATTAGTCGGAAGAGCATATAAAATTTTAATTGTCCGGAAGTAGTGTACGGTAAATTATCAATAGTTCGATCTCTGACTCGTGTGTAAAACGTATCTATCACTCTCATTTTCATTGGAAAAATAAAGACAGCTATATGTTTTAAACAGGTGTTGCGACAGTGTAATTTGATAGTAAACGGCAACGAATTTATCAACTATAATCCTATTTCTTTCTCTTTCATTTCTTTGTTAACTCATTTTTGTTGGGTTTCTGAAGTTTCCATTCATTTCGTCATTACCAATTAATTCATTAGCGTTAGGTTGAACTACGTTTCAACGGAGTAAAACTCAAGTAACGTAGTTCGGAAACGCATTAGATGAAGTTATCGAATAACAAACTCTAACGAATGGTGTAACGTAACTGGGAAACCGGCCATTAGAATGACAATCATAAATCTAATTAATATTTTAATTTCAACAAATGACAATAGTGCTTACTGAATACAACATTCCGCCACACGCAAGCCTAATCAGCGACGATAATGCAAGCTTTCGCCTGTATTGTCCAAGGAATAGGGGTCATTATCCGCAAGTAATAAACATACTACTTATGATTCAAGGAACATCCAGGTTTATTCGTGTCCAAGACCTAGTTAGGTTATGACAATAGTCCCGCGTGCCTAGACTTGCGGTATTGGCGTATGTCCAGAATATCGTAAAATCTTTATTGAAACGCTGACAGAAATAGAAGTATTACTAACTGTAGAATAGAACGAAAATGCTGTGTATTGACCTTTTGATGGGTATGATTCGTTTTAAATAAAAACGTGCGAGTCAATGACCTCTGCCAAAAATCTCTATAAAAATATCGTTTAAATAAAAAAAACCGTTTTGCTAATTATTGCTATTCCTTTAATTTTAATAGCTATGACTTCAGTATATACAACGGGTCTATACACATTCTCATTTTAAACTCTATGGCAATCTTTTTATTGTTAGATACATGCTAGAATATTTTATTTTTGTCTTTGGTTCTTTTTCACTTTGATAGTTACGACTAGGGTACAAACTAATAAGCATTATTGTATGAAAATAAATGTAAGATATGTAGGCGAGCGTTCAACAACCCTTTGTTTGTGCGTCCAAAATACATTTAGCTGCGCTTTAATGGTCGGGGGTGGCGACGCACGGTGCATTTGCGTGCGCCGAATGTCCAATCGATGCGTGCAGGGTTGCAGGGGGTTGAATAGCCCTGCGGCGGTCAACGTCCAGCTCCGTCTGTGAATAATTAAAGACATACAAGAGGCCGCAAATGAACGCTTATTCGCAAAATGCATTGACTGAAAATACTAATTAATTTGATTTGTATTTATAGGGTAGGTATTAGGTTTATGTATTGTTAAGAACAAAATTAGTACCGTGATGTAGAATTGGCGCAACTCTAGATTATCGGCATAAACGTCACGTCCCTAGCTGACAGCTGTCAATGTTACAAGAAGGATGGAGATTGGCGCGCAACCTGAGTCCTGACGAGAAGTGTTGCTCTGAGTTTAAAGCGACAGTATCAATTAAATAAGTTGTCTAAAAGTATGTATATGTGTACCTTTATCATAAAATGTTTAGGGTGAAAACATATTTCCATATTTATTAAAAAAATTAGAGATGAAACTTTCTTACTGTGCAATCAATAGGATATGCAAAATGATATATGCGTGAACTATTTTAAAGATGATTTTTTGCAAAGTATCTACCATAGGAAGCAGTGTATAGCGTTCTTATTCTCAAGATGCTATACGACGAGGCGATGGACGCGCAAACCTAATTTTCCAGTGTCTTGCCGTGATAAAACAACATTACATCCACTGTGTCGGCTGTCGGCTGCCAGTCGAGTTATAGGGTTGTCACTCACAAGTTATTTTATTTAGTTAAATATTTTAATACTAAATACTCTTATTGTAAGCTTGTATGTTTTTATTATGATTTCGTTATGACACTAGATGTTTTTTTAAAAGGAATGTTAACGTGTTTTCTGGCATGTGTTTTGACTGTAGAAACTCATGATTATAGTAAACAGTAGCAAACGTGTAAAAACATGTAAAAGGATAGGATAATAAAACATAGATTATCGATAGCAGTCCAGTCATCTACTGTAATATGACTAAGGGAAATAAGCTTTATTGATGAATGTATTTAAATAAACATATAACTATAGTATAAAAAATTAACTCTAAACAAAAATAAAAAATAATCGATTTAATCCATAGAGTATATTATAAATCATCATTTGCGATCCTGACACTGCTTTCTCGGGTCTTCTTTATATTAGTGATTTGTTCGCTTTTACATGCTAGTATTTGAAAAAACTGGCCGTAAGTGGTAAGTGTGCATTGCATTTTTAACATGTATCTATCCTATTTCCTTTTGACTGTGGAAATATAAAACCATTTTTTAATTGGTAGTTGACTTCTCAATGATTTTATCTAATATTTTTTCTCCCCTTATTTTCAACAAAATTTCGTTTATCACTAAAATTTTGACTATTTTATTGCACAATATTATTTATCTGATTGTCTTTTGCACTATTTGTTAATGTTCAATATTTAATTTTATTTTAATTAATGATAATCAGGTGGTAACCCTATCCCTACCTGATCCAAAACAAACCGTCGCGTCGGGGTTGTGTTACGGAAGTCCTCTAGTTGCTTCAACATCTCCGCGGAACGGAACAAGTTTAATGAAAATTCTTACCTACTCTTACTTTACAATGGCTAATGTCTTGTTTATTGTAGAAAGTGGTATAAAAATATATATACCAAAGAGTATGTAGCTTTTTTAACTTGGTTTTTGGAATAAAACTGATGTTACATGTTTCTCATAGAAAATATTTGGAAATAGTCGTTGCCAGACTTCGTTCGTTTAAAAAAAAGTACCCTATGTGTTCTTCCAGACTTCCATCCTTATAAACTCAATTACCCATTTATGATATTAGATAGATGTAAAAGTAAAATTTGCAGTGATTGTGTTATATCCATTGAATGTTTTATATATCCGCGGCGAGGTTGGCGCGTACTCGAGTGGCATTGTGTCGCAAACAGTGCGGACCACTTGACAAACTTGTAATATAATTGGAAAGTCGACTCCGTTCACAATAAAATGATTTTTATATAGAAAAGTAGTATGTACTTGTGACTGCCCGCCGTAGGAGAAATGGCGGGTAGATGAGTAAATTTTCTGTTAAAAGTTGAAATAAGAGATATGACAATTTTTAATTCTAATATTTTTACATTGGAATTCAATAAAATAAATATCTTATAGTAATTCAAGGATTGCTATAAATGTTAAAGTAACATTTCCACAGTTTCTGGTTTCAATTAGGATCAGTCTCGATTCCGTAACCTTCGACTGGGAAGTAAACGGGAAACAAATAGGAAATTGCTCGACAGTATCGAATACGACTTTTACATTTATTTGCCTTGTTAAGGTTTCATTTGTTTGATCAGAGATCACTTTAGGAATTCACGATTTAATTGTTATCGGGTAATAGGTTTTGTTGTTTTTTTACTGTATTATTGGGATTAAAAAGGCAAATGAGATGTGACGGTTTTTAAAATACGTAACACCTTTGACATGTGTTTGTCATTTTTTGTAAGATAATAGTTAGTTGGTAACCAAATACAATCGACCAACCTACCAATCCTCAGAACAAACGGGAGAATTCTCTTAGTAATTTGGACAACTTAATTTAGTGGTTAAAATGTTTATTGTTGTTACAGCCATGAGCCGGAGGGCGGCGGCCGATGCGGCGAGGGTCCGCTAGCGCGCGCCATGCAACCAGCGCCGCCTGGTGGCTCGCCCAAGCGACAGCCCGCCACTGCGCCCGCGCATGGTATGTAATCTATTTTAATTGCAACTTTAAGCTTTAGTTGTTGTAACGGTCTGTGCCGAGGCTCTTGAGGGAGCCCTCCAGCTTAGTATAAACGAAGTTTAGGCTAAGCTCCATCTGCGCTCGGCCGCCTCAAGCCCGGTGAAAATGTAAATGTCTCTTCAAGGCAAACAGTAGCAATTCAGTCACAAAAATACTTTAGTTGTAGTTTCTGAATATGCATTTATAATGTAAGGTAAAATTTGGCACTCCAACATTATTTACACTTAAAGAGTGCTTAAAGTTACAGTTTTTTTATATTTACGAAGTATACTACTTATAAGGCCAGTGACTGATTTTATTCGTGTAAAATAATTTAATTGTAATGCTATCTGTATATATAGTACCTTTAATTCGCACAAGAGATATTCGAGTGGCTGAATTTAAAACAATCATTGAAAACGATTGTTGATATTTTAATTGGCGAGGGATTCGAGGGGTTTCGTTTTTGTTCCCAACCACTCGACGTCACCGGATCAAATTGTTGCTTCGCTTTGACTGAATACTTTGTTAATTGTGTTGAAATAAACGTGGGTTTACACTGCCTTAATATATTTCACAATTTTTGGTTCAATTTCAATCAATTAAAATGAATGGTAAAGTTTTTATTTATTTAATGATAATGCTTTAGAATTTTCTTCAAGAAATTGTGAAATAAAATTTAATATTTATTCTTTTGACCGAGTTTTGAACAATCTTCTATTCATCTTACGGATCCCTAGGGATGTTCCGTCCCCGTTTCCGGTCAATGGTCGGTAATGAAGCGAGCACGGAGACAACCCTAACGAGTACACTTCATGTCAGCTTTCGTATATTTATAATACAGCTATAATGGTAGAGATATACAAAAAAAATATTTTTCATTTTGTTCAATTCACGATGAAATTAAAAAGAACGAAGTTAATTAATTATTTCACACTTAATCAAATGCTATAACAGCTGTTAAAATAAACCTGTTATTCCCAGCTATGATTTATGTATACATAATAGTTATGTATTGAACGTAGATGATTAGTTCCATGTTACATTTGAAGCAACAAACCAATTAATTACCCGTTCATTGATCCGGTAAATAACATTGGCCATTCACCTGTTACATTTGTAAATGTATAATAGACAAATATGTATGATCAACTAGCTTTTGCCCGCGACTCCTTCTGCGTAGAATTAGAAAAACCATAATGTAGCCTGTGTGTTCTTCCAGATAATGCTTTACATATAGATTTATATGGCATAGACCAAATGTCCGTCCAGTTTTTTAGGTGGTACACTCTAACAAACATCCATCCATCTTAACTTTAGCATTTATAATTTTAGTAATCAATAAAGACTACTAAGATATGAATACTACTTTGTTCGAACAAATACAAAATAGCACCAACAGTAATTTTCTAAACAGAGTAATTACCTATTTTACACATCGGATTATAATCAGACAATTTACAATTTGGTGGGACAGGTCCTTATTATGATTTATAATAAGCAAATTGTTGAGTTCATCTGGCGGAAAGGTTATTATGTTTTATATTGGGTTTTCCTTTTGTACGTCTACAAGCGATCCTTCCGAGAATTGATTTCGTTTTAACTTGTATGGAGTTTTTGTTGTCTATTCAACTTTTCATGAGCTAGACAACGAAAAATAAAATTCAAATTTGTTTTTGGAATATTAATAGTGAATACAACAATATTTGTTAAAGTAGGTACATTTATCTCCTCTTTATTTTCTTTGTATGGTATCTTTACATATGTACATTTCTTGCGGCAGTAGAAACCAACGGTTAGGTTTCACAATGCTTAGTAACCTCGCTTTTATTTTTGTACCACAAAACGTCGTGTTTTCCTTTATTTGTGTAATGTCCCGCATGTCAAATTTATTCACTAGACAACTGAAGGCAACCAACGAAGGTTTAAGTCAATGTATGATGTAAACTGTTTTGTTATAATAACAGATAACAGCGTTTTATTAGTAGGCACACATTTTATACAATCAGAATATGTTAGTCTAGATGTTGCTCGCGACTTCGTCCACGTGGAATTAAAAAACTAGTAAAAAATATAACTTATGTTACACACTGATAATGTAGTTATTTAGTGGTAGTTTTTTTGAAATCGGTCCATTAGTATTTGAATTATTTCAATACATACGAAAATATAATTCTTTCTTATAATATTAGTATAGACAACACGCATAAAATATAGACCAGTTGTAGATACGAGTAACCACTTTTTTCGCGACCTCTAACTTGTAAACGCAAATGAAAGCGTTTAGCTTTTAACCTCAGCACTATGTATAGTTCCATTCAAACTTAATGTCGGCTCGGAGTATCGCATGAAATGATGCAGAGGATAGAATATTAGGTATCAGCGGAACTTAATGGTGGGCGCGTGGCAGCAACTTTTGTCTGGCTTCCTTTAGAAGTAATTGTCCCTTGCAGCACTCCCTTAGGCATATGTATACGCTCCTAACTAACTGCACGCCGCTAAAATGTTTGAATCTTGTAATACAATTGTGCATATATAGAGATAAATATGTCAGGGTTGTCGACATTGAGTTTTATAGTATTGCCATATATGAACACGTTTAACGGAATTGCCGATATATGGAAGTTACTAGGTGTCGATAAATGTTTTGATTAGTATAAAATGTGTAACTGAGCTAATGTGATTTAATATTGACATTTATTTTACATTTCATTATGAAATTATATCTGCTTAATTTTTACATACTTAATTTTGTAAAAAGGAAAACTACATATTTTCTTGTATCATTTCCAGGCGCGGCGGGTGATCAGTCAACCCTAAAGGTGCATCTACCCAATGGAGGGTTCAACGTGGTCCGCGCGTCTCCTGAAGAAGATGTGCGGTCGGTGCTGCGGCTGTTGGCGGCGAGGCTTGCTGCTGGTGACCGACTATACGCGTCGTGCTACGCGCTAAGAGCTAGGCGGCTTACCACTGGGAAGGTATACTATCACAAACTTTAAAAAACTACAGTACAAGGCTTAGTAGGAAGTCGTTTATCAAAAAGCATTATTTTCAGCTTAAAAATTATAAAAGATATTTTGGAAAATTTACAATTGAAAATGTTAAAATTCAAATTCAAAAATGACGACGAAGGCCTTTGGCATTGGATAACAATTTCCGTTACCATGGCAATTGCTTCCTTGATGTTGTCAGCTTGTAGTTTTAGTCTTTTCCGCGTTATGGTTTTTTCTAAATTGTTTAATTATTTAGAAGGTAAGGAGTAAAAGGTTAGCATGGTATGGGCATGTTATGAGGAGGGATGAATCGCATGTTACAAGGAGAACGTTAGATATGATTGTGGAAGGGTACATCGGTAGAGGTAGACCTAGAAAGAGATGGATGGATTGTGTAAAAGGTGACATGATCAAAAAGGGAGTGATGACTGAGATGACGTATGATAGAGTTATGTGGAGGACAAAAACCTGTTGCGCCGACCCTACGGGAGTAGGATAAGGAGATGATGATGATGATGTTTAATCCCTAAGTCTATAAGCGAAAATGTATAGCCTAAAACGTGTCGTGCGTAAAAAAAAGAATTATTCATAAATATGCTGTGATTGCTAGCATCCTAAATAACTAAGTAGTGTGTGTTTACGCTTTATTATATAAGAATAGATAAAGAATAAGTATCGTTTATTGTGTTAACTGTATTTTTACCGTATTTTCAGATCCGATGGATCCATCAAGACACAGCGGTGTCGGAGTTGACGTCGCGCTGGCCGGCCAGCGAGTGGCGGCTGGAGCTGCGCGTGCGCTACCTGCCCGCCAACCTGAGAGACCTCTGCGACGCAGACCGCGTCACATTCCATTACTACTATGATCAAGTACGCTTCATACTTAGAGCTGGATTTTAAATTGGTTACTAAACTATCACACAACTGTTGTGCGATTGTCCATAGCCAATTCAACTGTTTAGTTGCACAACTAAAAATCAAGTGTGCACCTCCATATAAGCTCAGTAAATCAAAGCAAGACTGAACTTGTGCGGTAGTTTAATCAAATGTGTGCACGCTTTTATTATTGCATATTTGACTTTTAAGACACAGGATCAGTCAAGTGCCAGTCTCTGTTAACAACAATTAATTTTACATTGATGTGCTAGCTTTGGCCCGCGATACCATTCGCGTGGAATTAAACAAAAACAAAGTAAGTAGCTTATGTGTTCTTCCAGACTATTCTCTATATCTATGCCAAATTTCATTGAGATCTATTCAGCAGTTTAAGCTACAAACTCGTAACAAACATCCATCCATTTAAACTTTCGCATTTATAATATTAGTAACTAGCTGTTCCAGTGCGGCTTCATTCTTATGAAATGTCAAAATTCAAATGCACAATTGTCAATTGCTTCCTTGATGTTGGCAGCAACTTCCCACATTAGGATTTTCATCCCTAATATTTACCCCCTAAGTTTAATGGCGTGAAAATATATAGCCTAAAGCGTGACGTAAAAGTAGAGCTTTTTATTATAAAAGGACTTTTCAAAAACATGCTGTGATTGCTGACATCTTTGGCAACAAACAAGTGTGTGTACGCTTTATTATAATAGTATAGATATAAGTTAGAGGTGCTTATCCAATTGTTTTAAATTCCCAGGTGCGACATGACTACCTCAACGCCAACCATCCTATGGTAGATCAGGATTTGGCGATACAAATATGTTGTTTAGAAATAAAGTAAGTTTAACTTTCTCTAGTCTTGTATTTTATATCGTTGGTATTTTCATATTAATGTTTGTTTGTAGATATTTCTGCAAAGATATGCAGATATCGTTGGACAAGAAGTCTAATATAGAGTACTTAGAGAAGGAGTTCGGTCTGCACAAGTTCCTGCCCAAATCCGTGCTTGACGCTATCAAACCCAAAGTCCTCAAGAAGGCTATACAACAGCAGTTCAAAAAGGTATGAAATGTCTGTTATTACATTTTCATATAGTACTAGCTGTTCCCTTGCAATTTCATCAGCATAAAATTATTTAATTGTTTACATGTGTCAAACTCTCAATGACATGACATGACAAAACTTGGCAATCTTGCTTCCTTGATGTTGGCAGCAACTTATGGTCTCTCCCACATTAGGGTTTTTATCCAAAATATTTACCCCCGAAGTTTAATAGCGTGAAAATATATAGCCTAAAGCGTAATGTAAGTGTACGGCTTTTTATTAAAAAAAGAATTATTCAAAAATATGCTGCAATTGCTGACCTTTTAGGCAACAAAGAATGTGTGTTTATACTTTATTGTAATAGTATAGATAGTAATTTATTAAATTCAATGACACTAATTCCAAGATGGCAACCACAAAATGGCGAACGCAATTTTGCAGAACATCCCCAACACGGGTTTTAAAGTGAAATGCTGTGACTATTAAATAAATACATACAAAATAAGAAAAACTATTTATCAATCAGAAATGGCCACTGCAGCAAAATGGCGGATCATATACTTTTGTCAATTACTCCCAACAAGTTTATCAAAACAGAATGAGAAAGCTTGATTACTTGAGTATCTTGATAAATATTGACTTATAAAATACTAATTGTTGCTCGCGACTTTGTCCATGTGAAATATACCCTATGTTACTTAGCAATACTGTACCTTAAAGGTGAAAGCATTTTTGAGATTGGCTCAGTAGTTTTTTAGTTATTATAATAGATATTAAAATGTATGTCTTTCCTCTTTATAATATTAGTAGAGATTTTACATGTAATAAAATACTAGTTTATGAATGTAATAATAACAAAAAATTACTGCTGATAATGAGAAACCTCGTCCGTCTGATAAGCCACATATGTTCCCGATAATCTCCATAACGGCTGGATTGATTTGGACAAAACTTTAACTGAGACATAGCTGATATATAGGGGAATGTTATAGGCTGCTTTTTTAATTGTTATTTCTTTATTCCAGGTGGCTAATTTAAGTGATGTGGAATGCATGTTACGGTACGTGGAGACGATGCACACGCATTACGGCTACGACAGGGAGACCTTCACCGCGGCGCTCGGCGGCGGCTGGGCCATACCTGTGGAGCTGGCTATAGGACCTGATATAGGTAAGTTAATAGGAGACCAGTTAATGTTGACCTCTTGTATATGTCAGCTAGACGATTAGTGAACTTTTTTAATTGTTTAACTTTTATTTGCGTCAATGATGTTTAATATACATTACCTGTTGCTCGCGACTTCGTCTGCGTGAAATTAAATAATAACAATATAGTATGTTACTTATTGATAACGTAGCTTTTTACTAGTGAAATAATTTTTGAAATCGGTCCAGAATTTTTTTAGTTATTCAAATACATACAAAAGAACAAATCTTTCCTCTTTATAATAACAGTATAGGTTAGTTATCACGAGAATGGTGGGTGGATTTAATTAGTCGACTGATATATCAACTACTAGCTTTCTCTCGCGACTCCGTACGCGCGGAATAAAAATAAAGTAGCTTATGTGTTCTACCAGACTATTCTCTACATCTATGCCAAATTTCATCGAGATCCGTTCAGCAGTTTAGGCTACAAACTAACAAACATCCATCTAAACTTTCGCATTTGTAATATTAGTACGATTGTCCATGCGTGTGTTTTAAGACAAATGACACAATACTTAAAGTATTATACTATTAATACTCGTTTTTCAATATTTTTTTTAATATATCATTTTACATATGTCTATGTTTTATTAAATGCCAGTTATTTATTTTTCAGATATATCGTACGTGTCCCACAAGGCGGGCGAGCCGCCCACCTACACTAAGATAGCCTCCTTCAGCGACATCGTGGCGCTGCACACGCTCAAGTCCAACTGCACGCAGCAATCACAGACACAGGTCAGTTTTACACAGCGACAGTAACGAATTATTTCATAGTCACTGCTTTCAATAAAGGTTTTTTTTTATTTATTTATCAACTTCTACAGACTCTTGATCCGTACTCTTTTTTGCACAGTTTGTTCTCCTTCTCTTTTTTATTTTTTTTTGTTGCATAATCCGTATATCACTAGTAAGTTCCTTTTTTTTTAAATACAATTATACTACTGCTTTTACTAATACTAGCGCGACAGTTGTCAGTGGCGACGGATGTATCTTTGAACCGAGTCTATGTAATTTTTTTTCAGACCATTAAAGGTTTAGACGCAGTTTAATATCTGTTTTAAGAAAAGACATTTGAATCATGTATAGATAAGGCAGTAAACAAATTTATTTTACCGGTACTTTATCTGAAAGGTATCTCAATTGTCAAGTTTACTACCACTTGTGTTCAAAATAAAATTCAATTATTTTTAATGACACCTATTGGCAATTAAATTTATTGAACATAGTTAATTACATTGACAAGCGCTTTTGAGGCTGTCAATAGTAGAATTAGTAAGATCATGTCAAAAATATCTCTATTTTAACTATGACTTCTCTATATATTTTTTGAAACTCTATAATTTTAACTCTTTGACTGCCGAATAATTGAAATAATTTTACTTTTTATTGGTCAAGATTGCATTTCGTAAATTTATGCATAATAATGTTAAGATTTGTGACAAATTCGGGACAAGATTTAGATTCACGGTATAAGTGTTTTGTATTTGATATTTGAAACACTGTCTAAGGTATTTTTGGAATAAAAAAGTTTCCATATGTTACCTATTATTTTTAATAAACAAAAGATGACATGCTTAGAATTTAACATTAACATTTTCTAATGTTTTCTCATCCAATTGGTGTCTTTTCCATCCCTTTATTAAAAAACATTAGGATTTAGTTTCAGTTTATTAGCCTTACAAATAAACGCAGAATAAATTTAAACTTAGGAATAAACTGAGTATAAGCAAATTTGTGCTAATATTTGCTTAAACTCAGTTTATTCCTAAGTTTAAATTTATTCTGCGTTTATTTGTAAGACTGTATATGTTTTAAAATAAAGTATCTTTAACAGTGTGTTATTTTATCAGAGTGGTTCGTGCGGTAAGGGCGCGTTGCAGCTACGTGTGAAAGGCGCCACGGAGACTCTCACCATCATGTGCAGCAGTGTAGAGGTGACAACATTTTACAACAATAAACCTGTCATGTCACTGGGATCTATCCCGGACTGTCATATGACATTTTAGTTATTTCTCTTAATGTCACCTTATCAATCTATACAAATACTAGCTTTCTTCGGCGACTCGGCCCTCGTGGAATTAAAAAAGTAGCGTATGTGTTATTCCAAACTATCCTCTACATCTACGCCAAATTTCATCGAAATCTGTTCAGTGGTTTAAGCTACAAACTCTAACAAACATCCATCCATCTAAACTTTCGCATTAATAATATTAGTTAGATTATAAAAAAGAAAGATTTGTATTTTCGAATTTTTGTACATAATGAAATAACTCAAAAACTACTGGACCGATATCATCAATTCTTACACCTAAAAATCTACGTTATTACTAAGTAATATAGGTTTTTATTACTTTTTTATAATTTCCGGTAGACGAAGTCGCGAACAACAGCTAGTTTATATTGGTATCTTACTAATGAACCTGAATGGAATTTTCTACAAAAGTGTTTGTCTGTCTTGAATGTGTGTTTAAATTATTTTGGTTGTATTACAGGCTGCAGAAAGTCTGGCGGACTTAGTGGACGGCTATTGCAGGCTGGTCACAGACACGCAAACTTCTCTATGGAATAGAACAAGTAAGGAAAAATACCTTTATCTTACTTCACTATGTATACTATTATAATAAAGCGTAAACACACACTTCTTTGTTGCCTAAATGTCAGCAATTACACCATAGTTTCGAATAACTCCTTTTTTAATAAAAAAAAGCCCTAGACTTACGTCACGCTTTCGACTATATGTTTTCACGCCGTTAAACTTAGCGGTAAATATTTTGGATAAAAAGCCTAATGTGGGAAAGAGACCATAAGTTGCTGCCAACAGCAAGGAAGCAAAATTGCATTGCTTTGTCATCATGTCATGTCAGTCATTTTAACATTTAACAAACACAATTGAATTTGACAAATGTAATCAATAAAATAATTTTCATTATTTCATGCGATAGAAGTCGCATGGGAACAGCTAGTAATATTATAAATGCGAAAGTTTAGATGGATATTTGTTAAAGTTTATAGCGTAAACTAGTACACGGATCTCGATGAAATTTTTCATAGACGTAGAGGATAGTCTGGAAGAACACATAGGCTACTTATTTTTTTATTCCACACGAACGGAGTCGAGGGCAAAAGCTAGTTTTAATGTAAATTTTTAACCTAATCATAATAGTATTGAAGAGTTTATCTTTATTAGAAAAAGTGGAATTGACTATTTTTAATCTGTTGGCATATTTTCCTAGCAACCGTTTGGAAACAGCTTAATTGTCAATGTAAAAGTAAGTCGTAGATAAATTAGAGGAAATAAAACAATAGAAATATTATAATTTATTACTAGAAATAGTCACGCATTTATTTAGTTATTTCCTGTATTATTCTAAGCTTATCAATGTATTTTTTTATTTTGTATTTCTATGTAGAATCAAACCAACCGGCATGTAATATTTAACTCTGTAGATTTACATCGTTTATCTATATTTATATTATAAAGAGGAAACATTAGTATTTTTGTATGTATTGAAATAACTCAAAAAATTCTTGACCAATTTTAAAAATTCTTTCACAATTAAAAACCTATGTTATCAGTAAACATAGGCTATATTTTTTAATTTCACGCAATCGAAGTCGCGAGCAACAGCTAGTGTATAATAACACATCATTGACGCAAATTAAAAAACCAGTAATAAAAGTTAAATAATTTAAAATTTCACTAATCCTCTAGCTGACTTATAAAAGAGGTCATTGTTAACTGGTCTCCTATTAACTTACCTATCAGGACATCATATCTAGATTTATGTTTTTTATAGAAATAGAAATAATTTTATTGAAAAAACAAGAGATTAACAATTACAATAACAGTTCTACCAACTAAAAGATAATTACAAATTGTGGTTATTATACGAATAATCTGGTGTTTATCATACAAATGTTGTAAATCAATATACATATACAATTTTAGCAACAGAAATGAGCAGTAGTTCATCAGAAGGTAAAACAAGTTCGTGGGAAGCGAACACCGCGACCATACTGTCTGAGGACTACGCGGAGATTGTGGACGACGATGCTGATTACTCTACGCCTGCAGGTGAACCTTATTTACATACACATAAGATTCAAATTTGAATGTCAAAGTATAAACGATTTCAAATGTTATAAATGCTCGGAACATCAAGCACTGGAGTAGTTACTTTGAGCCGATAAGATATTTGACAATGTTTATACATAAACTATGACGTAACTATCATACACATAGATATTTTTTTTATAAGCTCGGTGTTTTTTTTAATATAAATTAAATATGTTTCAGTTCGAGACTATGAGTTGGTTCGTAATCAAATAGAACTGACCGGTATTATCGGAGAGGGACAGTTCGGAGATGTGCATAAAGGTAACTTTCACCAGAGAAATAAGTACTCAACTTAGTTACTAGCAACAAACACTTCACATTCATTAAGATGGAAATAATACCGCTATATTACGCCTACTTCGATACATTTTTACTTATTACTAACGCATAAATAGCATAGTCTTACTTCTTACTAATATTATAAATGCGAATGTTTGGATGGATGGATGGATGGATGTTTGTTAGAAGATATCTTTTTAACAGCTGAACGGATCTCTATGAAATTTGATGTAAATGTAGATCAGGGGTTCCCAAACTTTTTATACTCCAGAGCACATTTTAAATACCGATCATGTGGCGGGTATCGCCTATTTTTATTTGACCAATTCTTTCCATAACTTCTTTTTTCTCGTTTTCCCATTTATTTCCTTAAATTCTTTATTTATTAATAACTAATAAACAATTATGTTAAAAAACAATTAAATTGTTTTTCAAATTGAATATACCCAGAGAAATGTATTTAAAAAACGTAAACCATTCATACATATTATACAATATAGCACACATACGAAGGCATTTAATAAACCTTGCTAGGCAATCTTAAAAAAAAAACAACTAACAACAAATAAGAATAATTCACATTTTTAATTAATGTTTAAGAAAAAAAGATTAGTGGCGAGCACATGCGAGACTCCGATATAGATGATAGTCTGGCATAACACATAGGTTTTGTTTTTCTTAACTTCCACGTGTACGGAGTCGCGGGCTCAAGCTAGTCTTAACAAAGAAGCAATTAAAGGCGTGGTTGCAGGTACGTGCCGCGTGACGTCAGCCAACCACCCGTCGCTGCGGCGGCAGCTGGCGCTGCAGCGGCAGCAGGGCCGCGGCGCCGACCACGTGCTGCACGTCGCCGTCAAGACCTGCAAGATGGACGCCGACCTCGACACCGCGGAGAAGTTTCTGGAAGAGGCCTGTGAGTTCCGATCATTTTATTCTTCATTTCTATTTTAAGGATAGCAAATGTTATTTTTACTATTGATTGTGTTCACATGTGTTCGTAATGTTCTAATTGTTCCTTTCATTACGTCTTACTAAGCAACATTCAAATTTTATTTCTCTCTTTCTTCTAAGTTTGTATTCCATGTAATAGTGGAATCAGCTTGTTACTGTCGAAATTTACTTTTTAACTATTTTTATTTTGTAATAATATATGGCTTGGTGATCCGCTCCGAAAATATAATCTATACTATTATAATAAAGCGTAAACACACACTTCTTTGTAGCCTAAGATGTCAGCAATTACAGCATATTTTTTAATAATTCTTTTTTTTTTCATAAAAAGCCCTACACTTACGTCACGCTTTAGGCTATATATTTTCACGCCACTCAGTTTTAGCGGTAAATATTTTGAATAAAATCCCTAATATGGGAAAGGGACCATAAGTTCCTGCCAACATCAAGGAAGCGAGTTTGCCATGGTTTGTCATTTTGACATTTGCAATTGTAATTTGTCACATGTAAACAATATAATAAATTTTCTATAATTTTATGCGGATGAAGTCGCAAGGGAACAGTTAGTGAAATATAAATTTAGAAATTCGTATCTATATTAGTCTTACATTTTAGTCTATATTTGTATTCTATGCACATGCGTTTTTCAATGGCAACATTTATATACTCTATGACACATTAATTCGGTTAACTTCCCCAACGATATTATAACAAGAATCAAAATTAAAATCTAAGCCTTTGTAAAGTGTTTTATTTAAATCTCTTATTCTTTAATGAACTTGTTTCCAGATATAATGCAGCAGTTCTCTCACCCGCACATCATCGGTCTGGTGGGCGTGTGCAGCTCCCCGCCCATCTGGATAGTGATGGAGCTGGCCACGCTCGGCGAGATGAGGGCATATCTGCAGCAAAATGCACACAGGTTTCTACAAGTAGTACAAAACACAACTAAATACCGTTACATGAGTGAGACAAAAGATATGACGTGGAAAGGAAGGAAAGAGACAGACTATATACTATAGACAGAAATGTAAAAACTAAAAACTGCCAAATATCGCTTATTCCACAAAAATGTGGTAGATGTCATTTAAAATCCTAGTCATTTTGAAAGAACACTTGCTATTAATCCCATTTTTATCTGAAGTTAAGCCAAGCTTTCGAGAATGACAAATTTTAATTTGAATATAAATAGCGAAGATTGAAAACTAATTAAATTAATTAGTAACATGGCCAATTAACAGATGTTTTATAGAAACTTTTTGCTATTTCGTTTTAATGCCTTTTGTCATTATTTCCTTGTTAAAATATTTTTCACATTTATGAAATGTGTATTTACTCTATGACACCATAGATTAAGTAGTCTTGTAGAATGGTTATTAGTACTTTTTAATTAAAAACCTGTTTAATAGATTAGAGACGTGTACGCTGGTGCTGTACATCTACCAGCTGTCGACGGCGCTCAGTTACTTGGAGAGCAAGAAGTTCGTACATCGCGATATCGCTGCTAGAAATGTCCTTGTTTCCACTGCCACGTGCGTTAAGGTATGTATTTGTGCTTAAATTGAATATGGAAAAGATTTTTATGGTTTAAAGAAATAAATGTAGATGTCACAGGAGTAATTTACTATAGAAATCAGAAGATTGTTGTTTTACACGTGAATATAAAATTCAAAGTAAGTTTTTATGTGTTTGTGTTCTCGACATGACAAATCATATTACCCATACGCTTAAATTGGCACGTGACACAAAACAGTCTTCCTACTTGTGACGTGCCAAGTCAAATCTATAGTTTAACTGTTTTCCAGTTGGCAGATTTCGGTCTGTCTAAGCGAGTGGACGACAAGTCATACTACAAAGCGTCGCGTGGCAAATTGCCCATCAAGTGGATGGCACCAGAATCTATTAACTTCAGGCGGTTCACCTCCGCATCTGATGTATGGATGTTTGGTAAGTTATACTTACGAAATCTGACTTAAAAAGAAACATAGTGGCCACTTTTTTGTTTATTTTTATGTACAGGATTGCCAACAAAACATCTTCATCTATATATCTATACTTTTTATACAAATATAATAAAGCGTAAACACACACTTCTTTGTTGCCTAAGATGTCAGCAATTACAGCATATTTTTGAATAACTCTTTCTTTTATAAAAAAAAAGCTCTACACTTACGACATGTTTTAGGCTATTTTCACGCTATTTTAGTTAGGGTAAATGAATTGGAAAATAAACCTTCGTGTGGGAAAGGGACCATAAACTACAAGCTGCCAACTGTATAACGGTAATTGTTATAAAATTTCAAAGGCATTTGAATTTTGACATTTGACATATGTAAGCAGTAAAATAAAGTTTTTTTTATAATTCCATGCGGATATCTATACAGTTGTAGTTAGAAATCTAATCATAAACATATTTCATTTATAGGCAAACACATTGTGCAAACTACCTTATATCTAAAAAGTTATGAGTAAATGCAGCAATAGCCCTATAATTTTGTACAGGAGTGTGCATGTGGGAGATCTTGATGCTGGGCGTGAAGCCGTTCAGCGGCGTGAAGAACAACGACGTGATCGGCAAGCTGGAGAACGGCGAGCGGCTGGCGCTGCCGGCGCGCTGCCCGCCGCGCCTCTACTCGCTCATGTCGCGCTGCTGGGCCTACGAGCCCTCGCAGCGCCCCGCCGCGCACGCGCTCAAGGAGACGCTCTTGTATGTGCACCGCGCACTGCTCGCCTGGCCTACTACTATACAGACATTGACAAACATATAGAGCGGGCACAAGTGACACTTCACTATCTATTAATAGATCCTTGAAACCACAAATCAATATAATGGGTGTCATATTCTATAAATATTTCTAGCTTTAACTCGCGACTCTGTCCGCGTGGAGTTAAAAAACAAAACAAAAATAAGTAGCCTATGCCATCTTTCGTACTATTTTCTACATCTTTGCCAAATTTCATCGAGATCCGTTCAGCCGTTTAGGCCACATCTGTAACAAACATCTATCCATCCATCCATCTAAACTTTTGACATGACATGAGGATATCAGATGGTACTAAACTTGATAACATAGTACTTTTATAGAAGTCACCAGTGAAAAAATCTTGTTAATTATGACTAGTCTATATATTCCTTAATGTGACCGTTCTCATACATTGTTTGTGCAGTGAGATTCTACAAGAGGAGCGCAGCACGGCGTGGGACACGATGCGGCGCGAGAACCGGCGCGTGGCCGCCGCCTCCTGGGGC